AAATGAGTGTTTCCGTTCTCCTTGGCCCTACTTGCACTATAAGTGCGAAATGCCGGCCAGACTGGCCGATGCACCATTTTCTCTACACATGTGCGTTATTTACCTTTCAAACCCTTACGTTCACTAGATGAATTTATTTCCTACCTTCTATTTGAGTGAGACCACTAGATTCCGTGTACTATGCGAGATCTGAGCGCTTCCGTTCTCCCTGGCATTTGCACTCTAAGTTCCCATACTGACCGACCTGGCCAATGCACCATTTTCCATATAAATATGCATTAGATTCCTTTCAAACCTTATTAGCTTACTAGATTTATATATTTCCCAACTTCTGATCGAGTGAGACCGCTAGATTCCCTCTACTTTTTGAGAAATGAGCGTTTCCGTTCTCATTGGCCCTAGTTGCACTATCAGTGCAAAATGCCGGCCAGACTAGCCGATGCACAATTTTCTCTACACATGTGCGTTAGTTACCTTTCAAACCCTTACGTTCACTAGATGAATTTATTTCCTACCTTCTATTTGAGTGAGACCACTAGATTCCGTGTACTATGCGAGATCTGAGCGCTTCCGTTCTCCCTCGCATTTGCACTCTAAGTTCCCATACTGACCGACCTGGCCAATGCACCATTTTCCATATACATATGCATTAGATTTCTTTTGAACCTTATTAGCTCACTAGATTTATATATTTCCCACCTTCTGATTGAGTAAGACCGCTAGATTCCCTTTACTTTTTGAGAAATGAGCGTTTCCGTTCTCCTTGGCCCTACTTGCACTATAAGTGCGAAATGCCGGCCAGACTGGCCGATGCACCATTTTCCTACACATGTGCGTTAGTTACCTTTCAAACCCTTACGTTCACTAGATGAATTTTTTTCCTACCTTCTATTTGAGTGAGACCACTAGATTCCATGTACTATGCGAGATCTGAGCGCTTCCGTTCTCCCTGGCATTTGCACTCTAAGTTCCCATACTGACCGACCTGGCCAATGCACCATTTTCCATATAAATATGCATTAGATTCCTTTCGAACCTTATTAGCTCACTAGATTTATATATTTCCCAACTTCTGATCGAGTGAGACCGCTAGATTCCCTCTACTTTTTGAGAAATTAGCGTTTCCATTCTCATTGGCCCTAGTTGCACTATCGGTGCAAAATGCCGGCCAGACTAGCCGATGCACAATTTTCTCTACACATGTGCGTTAGTTACCTTTCAAACCCTTACGTTCACTAGATGAATTTATTTTCTTCCTTCTTTTTGAGTGAGACCACTAGATTCCGTGTACTATGCGAGATCTGAGCGCTTCCGTTCTCCCTGGCATTTGCACTCTAAGTTCCCATACTGACCGACCTGGCCAATGCACCATATTCCATATACATATGCATTAGATTTCTTTCGAACCTTATTGGGTCACTAGATTTATATATTTCCCACCTTCTGATTGAGTGAGACCGCTAGATTCCCTTTACTTTTTGAGAAATGAGCATTTCCGTTCTCCTTGGCCCTACTTGCACTATAAGTGCGAAATGCCGGCCAGACTGGCCGATGCACCATTTTCCTACACATGTGCGTTAGTTACCTCTCAAACCCTTACGTTCACTAGATGAATTTTTTTCCTACCTTCTATTTGAGTGAGACCACTAGATTCCGTGTACTATGCGAGATCTGAGCGCTTCCGTTCTCCCTGGCATTTGCACTCTAAGTTCCTATACTGACCGACCTGGCCAATGCACCATTTTCCATATAAATATGCATTAGATTCCTTTGGAACCTTATTAGCTCACTAGATTTATATATTTCCCAACTTCTGATCGAGTGAGACCGCTAGATTCCCTCAACTTTTTGAGAAATGAGCGTTTCCGTTCTCATTGGCCCTAGTTGCACTATAAGTGCAAAATGCCGGCCAGACTAGCCGATGCACAATTTTCTCTACACATGTGCGTTAGTTACCTTTCAAACCCTTACGTTCACTAGATGAATTTATTTTCTACCTTCTATTTGAGTGAGACCACTAGATTCCGTGTACTATGCGAGATCTGAGCGCTTCCGTTCTCCCTGGCATTTGCACTCTAAGTTCCCATACTGACCGACCTGGCCAATGCACCATTTTCCATATACATATGCATTAGATTTCTTTTGAACCTTATTAGCTCACTAGATTTATATATTTCCCACCTTCTGATCGAGTGAGACCGCTAGATTCCCTTTACTTTTTGAGAAATGAGCGTTTCCGTTCTCCTTGGCCCTACTTGCACTATAAGAACGAAATGCCGGCCAGACTGGCCGATGCACCATTTTCCTACACATGTGCGTTAGTTACCTTTCAAACCCTTACGTTCAGTAGATGAATTTATTTCCTACCTTCTATTTGAGTGAGACCACTAGATTCCGTGTACTATGCGAGATCTGAGCGCTTCCGTTCTCCCTGGCATTTGCACTCTAAGTTCCCATATTGACCGACCTGGCCAATGCACCATTTTCCATATACATATGCATTAGATTTCTTTTGAACCTTATTAGCTCACTAGATTTATATATTTCCCACCTCCTGATCGAGTGAGACCGCTAGATTCCCTTTATTTTTTGAGAAATGAGCGTTTCCGTTCTCCTTGGCCCTACTTGCACTATAAGTGCGAAATGCCGGCCAGACTGGCCGATGCACCATTTTCTCTACACATGTGCGTTAGTTACCTTTCAAACCCTTACGTTCACTAGATGAATTTATTTCCTACCTTCTATTTGAGTGAGACCACTAGATTCCGTGTACTATGCGAGATCTGAGCGGTTCCGTTCTCCCTGGCATTTGCACTCTAAGTTCCCATACTGACCGACCTGGCCAATGCACCATTTTCCATATAAATATGCCTTAGATTCCTTTCGAACCTTATTAGCTCACTAGATTTATATATTTCCCAACTTCTGATCGAGTGAGACCGCTAGATTCCCTCTACTTTTTGAGAAATGAGCGTTTCCGTTCTCATTGGCCCTAGTTGCACTATAAGTGCAAAATGCCGGCCAGACTAGCCGATGCACAATTTTCTCTACACATGTGCGTTAGTTACCTTTCAAACCCTTACGTTCACTAGATGAATTTATTTCCTACCTTCTATTTGAGTGAGACCACTAGATTCCGTGTACTATGCGAGATCTGAGCGCTTCCGTTCTCCCTGGCATTTGCACTCTAAGTTTCCATACTGACCGACCTGGCCAATGCACCATTTTCCATATAAATATGCATTAGATTCCTTTCGAACCTTATTAGCTCACTAGATTTATATATTTCCCAACTTCTCATCGAGTGAGACCGCTAGATTCCCTCTACTTTTTGAGAAATGAGCGTTTCCGTTCTCATTGGCCCTAGTTGCACTATAAGTGCAAAATGCCGGCCAGACTAGCCGATGCACAATTTTCTCTACACATGTGCGTTAGTTACCTTTCAAACCCTTACGTTCACTAGATGAATTTATTTCCTACCTTCTATTTGAGTGAGACCACTAGATTCCGTGTACTATGCGAGATCTGAGCGCTTCCGTTCTCCCTGGCATTTGCACTCTAAGTTCCCATACTGACCGACCTGGCCAATGCACCATTTTCCATATAAATATGCATTAGATTCCATTCGAACCTAATTATCTCACTAGATTTATATATTTCCCAACTTCTGATCGAGTGAGACCGCTAGATTCCCTCTACTTTTTGAGAAATGAGCGTTTCCGTTCTCATTGGCCCTAGTTGCACTATAAGTGCAAAATGCCGGCCAGACAGGCCGATGCACAATTTTCTCTACACATGTGCGTTAGTTACCTTTCAAACCCTTACGTTCACTAGATGAATTTATTTCCTACCTTCTATTTGAGTGAGACCACTAGATTCCGTGTACTATGCGAGATCTGAGCGCTTCCGTTCTCCCTGGCATTTGCACTCTAAGTTCCCATACTGACCGACCTGGCCAATGCACCATTTTCCATATACATATGCATTAGACTTCTTTTGAACCCTATTAGCTCACTAGATTTATATATTTCCCACCTTCTGATCGAGTGAGACCGCTAGATTCCCTTTACTTTTTGAGAAATGAGCGTTTCCATTCTCCTTGGCCCTACTTGCACTATAAGTGCGAAATGCCGGCCAGACTGGCCGATGCACCATTTTCCTACACATGTGCGTTAGTTACCTTTCAAACCTTTACGTTCACTAGATGAATTTATTTCCTACCTTCTATTTGAGTGAGACCACTAGATTCCGTGTACTATGCGAGATCTGAGCGCTTCCGTTCTCCCTGGCATTTGCACTCTAAGTTCCCATACTGACCGACCTGGCCAATGCACCATTTTCCATATAAATATGCATTAGATTCCTTTCGAACCTTATTAGCTCACTAGATTTATATATTTCCCAACTTCTGATCGAGTGAGACCGCTAGATTCCCTTTACTTTTTGAGAAATGAGCGTTTCCGTTCTCATTGGCCCTAGTTGCACTATTAGTGCAAAATGCCGGCCAGACTAGCCGATGCACAATTTTCACTACACATGTGCGTTAGTTACCTTTCAAACCCTTACGTTCACTAGATGAATTTATTTCCTACCTTCTATTTGAGTGAGACCACTAGATTCCGTGTACTATGCGAGATCTGAGCGCTTCCGTTCTCCCTGGCATTTGTGTGAAATGAGTAAGCAGGAATGAAATGACTAAGGAAAGATTGGGTACAAATACAACCCTAGAAACCCTGTACCCCATATGTGCTACCCCACTATAGCCTACAGCAACTATGTCATATAAATCTGACACACCCCCATAGGCAAAGTGGGGGAGAACAAGGGGTCACAAGACCAGTCAAGCAAAGCAAAACAAGCTCAGGGTGGATCACAAAGTCACCACACAGTCCGAGCACAAGAGTAGGGCCAGAGGCCAGTTCACATGCAGGAGTACAGACATATATATAAAACTAGACAAACAAGAGCAGGCATATATATATGTCACAGTACAAGTGAAGTCAAGAGAAGAGCAAGTGAGGCAAGACAGGCACAAGACCCAGCTGGGTGCAAAAGCGCTGATGGTCACAAGGCGCGAGTGCCTTGGTGAACACATCAGCAGTGTTGGCCTCAGAGGCCACGTACGCAAGTCGCAACTGACCACGCTGCTGCAGCTCACGAGCAAGGAAGTAGCGGAGAGCAATGTGCTTCGTTCTGTGCTCCAAGCGCTGCTCTCGACACAAGGCCAGCATAGCCTTGTTGTCTACGTACAGCACTGGAGGAGAACGAGGCGGCTCTCCAAGGTCAGTCAGTAGGTAGGTGAGCCAGCGAAGCTCCTGTGCAGCCATGGCCCCGGCGTAGATCTCAGCCTCACAACTGGAGCCGAGAACCGAAGACGAGCGAGTAGACCGCCACGAGACAGAGCCGGAACCAAGGCTGAAGGTGTAACCCTGTGACGACCGCTGCGTAGCCTGGTCGTCAGCCCAAGAAGCGTCCGCGTGGCCGGTAAGGACCACTGAACTCCGCCCTCCAAGCACTAGCCCCATACCTGACGTACTGCACAGGTAGCGCAATACCCTCTTAGCTGCAGCCATGTGCTCCGGTCTGTGTCTCCCAGGAGCAACATAGCGTGCAAGAATGCTCAGAGGGTATGCAAGGTCAGGTCGTGTGCAGGTCATCAGGTACATGAGGCAGCCAACAAGCTCTGCATACGGACCACTCGACTCTACGGACTCATCCGAAGGCAGAGCTGAGAGTGAGTGGCGAGTAGGCAGAGGAGTGGCCTGAGGCAAGGAGTACGTGAAGCCGAAGCGCTGAAGGACCTGCTGCACCATGTGTGACTGAGTCAAGGTAATGGTGCGGCGTGCTCTGTCCCGAGTGATCTGCAAGCCAAGGTAGCTGCGCAGTTCACCCAGGTCTGTGCACGTGTGTCTCTTCAGCAGCTCGGACTTCACGTAGGCGAGTCCAGCAGTGTCCGCTGTGGCAAAGACCAAGTCGTCGACGTACACGAGGATGTAGAACGGCGGCAGGGAAGTGTCGGTACGAAGAAACAGCGATGGGTCAGCAGTAGAAGGAGCAAACCCAAGAGCCGCAAGCGTAGTCCTCAGTGTGTCGTGCCACTCACGCGGTGCCTGGCGGAGACCGTAGACTGGCCGTCGGAGGCTCCACTGGGTGCCAGGAGGGAAAGTCCCAGTGAAGCCAGGTGGACGGCGAAGCCAGATCTCCTCGTGCAGGCTACCCTGCAAGAACGCAGTGCTGAAGTCGAGAGAGTGAAGCTCGTAGTCGCGCTGAGCGGCTATGTGCAGCAGCACCCGAAGAGTAGTCATCTTCGGGGTGGGAGAGAAGGTCTGAAAGTAGTCAACTCCCTGCCGCTGACTGAAGCCACGAGCAACGTACCGCGCCTTGAAGACAGGTGGAGAGCCCGGCGGCCGCTTCACCCTGAAGATCCACATGCCACTGACGATGTTCGCCCCAGGAGGGGGAACCGCGTCAACGTAGGTGCCTGTGGACTTCCAGGAAGCCATCTGTGCATCCATAGCTGCCTGCCACTGAGAGGAGTAGGGACCCTCTACGGCCTCCGCGTAAGAGCGCGGAGTCGGGATGTCTAGTGCATCCGGGTCTCCCTCAGGAGCAAGCAGTACAGACGCGAGATGAGGTGAAGCAGCCGCTAGACACTGTAACTCCTCCTGCCTGTCCTCTAGGACGTCCGTGCTAAGAGCACACTCACCCCCGACGGACGGAGGACAGACAGACGCAGACTCAGCAACAAGACTAGCAGCGTAGTCGAGACGACAGCGAGCAGCAAAGTCGACGAGCTCAGCGACTAGAGCAGACGCAGCAGTGGACTCAAAAGAGGGGTCAGTGACGACAGTAGCAAGTAGACGCGTGACAGTAGGACTGGCAGCACGAAGAGAGTCCGACTCAGGGTCGGCAAGCGCAGGAAGAGAGGACTCAGGAGGAGAAGGCAAAGGGGCACGCAGAGGAGCAGTGGACGGACGCAAAGACATCCGGTGCGTGCCAGGAACAGGAGGACGACGCTGACGCGAACTGCGACCACTAGCGCGAGCAGCACGAACAGGCAACGCGGAACGAGACGCAGGCTCACGACGCTCAGCAAGACCTCCAGTAGGACCAGTGTAAGGAGGGGGAGCAGGCAGTGGAGAGGAAGGCTCCAGCAGGGACTGCGACTGGACAGGCGGTGGACCCTCTACAGGAGGAGAAAGACCAAGAACCTACTGCAGGAGCGGAACGAAGTACGGCCGAGGCCGCGCGGCGGCTCCAGACTCAGCAGGGACAGCACCAGCACCCTCAGCGACAGCACCAGCGCCACCCACACCTCCAGCGGCAGGACCAACAGCAGCAGGCTCAGCACGAACGCCCTCAGCAGCTCCAGCTCCAGGAGGACCCGCAGGTCCAGCAGCTCCGGAACCGGCAGCACCCGCACCCTCGACGGTCGAAGGAGCTCCAGCTCCAGCTCCAGCAGCACCTCCAGACTCAGCAGCACGCCTCCAGCGGCGAGCGAACCACTCACGCAGCTCCTGTGGAGAGAGGGGCTCCCGGCGAGACGCAGCAGCAGGAGAAACCCCAGGCTCAGCAGCTCCAGACGCAGCACCCCCAGGCTCAGCAGCTCCCAGCTCAGCACCCCCAGGCTCAGCAGCTCCCGACCCAGCACCCCCAGGCCCAGCACCTCCAGGCACAGCACCCCCCGGCTCAGCACTCCCAGGCTCCGCACCCACCGCAGTAGCACCCTCAGGCCCAGCACCCCCAGCAGTAGCACCCCCAGGCTCAGCACCCCCGCGCACAGTACCCCCAGAGTCAGCACCCCCAGGCTCAGCACCCGCAGCAGCACCAGAGTCACCAGTAACCTCGACCGGGTCAACGGCGTCTACCTGGGACACACCTGAGGGGGCAGGAACCTGAGGGGGGAGGGGGTCTACCGGGGGGGGAACCGGCACAAGGAAGTCCGGGGGAGGGGGGAGGGAAGCAGTGCGGTAGGGGAAGAGACGGTAGAAGGGGACTGACTCGTCGAACGTAACGTCCTGGGAGGACAGAACACGACGAGAGGAGGGGTGGTAAAACTGCCACCCTGGGGCGTCAGTGGGGAAGCCAAGGAAGACACAGGGAGCAGCACGAGGGGACAGCTTGTCCGCAGACAAGTCGCGGACAAACGCCCGAGATCCCCAGACACGGAACACAGACGCATCGCCAACCTTCCCCGTCCACAGCAAGACTGGGGACATTGCAGGCCGAGAGACCCGGGGGTGAAGGTTGAGCTGATGCGCCGCGTACCTCACCGCAAACGACCACAGAAAATGGGGGGCAGCCGCATGCATCATGGACGTACGAGCGACATCCATGACCATGCCAATGCGGCGCTCAGCAATCCCATTTTGCTGTGGTGAGTCCGGAAGCGTGAAGGTCTGGCGGATCCCCCGTGCACGACAGTAGTCTCGCAGAAGGCGAGAAGAGAACTCTCCGCCTCTGTCAGAGTGCAGACGCAGAACAGGAAAGTCCGAGCCGAAGCTCTTCCTGAGCTGGAGACGGGCCTCGCGGATCCAGTCGATCAGCACCTCAGTGACCGCACCCTTGCTGCGCAAGGGGAGGACTGTGGTGTAACGCGAGTAGTCGTCAACCACCAACAGGAAGTAGCGCTCGTAACCCTGCCCACGGACGGGGGCTGGGCCCCACACATCCATGTGAAGCGTCTGCAGGGGAGCCTCTGTCGGGGGGAAGTGGGAGGAGTGAGGAGTAGCCCGGAGGCGACCCTCGACACAGGGGACACAGGAAGGTCCTGGCCCGGAGGGGAGAGGAGGGAGAGACTGGGGAAGACCAGAGACAAGGACACGGGAAGCCATGCTCCGAAGACGGGGCAAGGAGGGGTGGCCAAGACGGTGGTGCCACAGGAGAGTCTCGTGAGACAGGAGGCGACAAGAACAGGGGGCAGACTCAGGACCTGACCGGGACGCAGCCGCAAGTACCTGACCCGACGCAGCCACCTGACCAGACGCAGGGACAGGAGGAGACTCAACGGTCAGGGTGTAGGACTCGACCCCGGCCGACGCGAGAACGTGGCCAGGTGTCGGCCTGTGCGTGCCTCCGTGCAGTGGGTCACCCGCTGACTCGCAGGAGTGAACTGGTGAACACCCCCATCCTGCAGGTCCGCTCCACTCACCAAGTTCGTGGAGAACGAGGGAAGGTACAGACCCGACAGGGTGTTCGAAGGGGCAGCCGGACACGGGAGGACAGTGGAGAAGTGAGACAGGACAGGACCTCCAGAGGGGTCAGCAAGGGAGACTGCAACCGGCCGGCCGAGCGGCGTAAGGGTAGTGCGGTCTCGAAAGAAGGAGTGAGAAGCTCCGGAGTCAAGTGTGAAAGTGAGGGAGGACGAGGACGACGCAGTACCTGAGAGCGCAGTCTCACCAGTACCTGAGAGCGCAGACGCACTGGCACCTAGACCAGCAGCCTCACAAGCACCTAGCGCAGCAGTACCAATGCCCGGGTCGGGCTGGAAACAACGGTAACCCTCATTCTCCTCACTATAATCCACAACATACATAGCAGTACGGATAGCATCAAAATCAAGATCAAAGATCGCTACACCAGCCCTGAGAAGCTCATCCCAGCGAGGGATCTCACTAGCCCCAGGGAACTGCTGACGCCAGGCGTCCGTCAGGCGGCCAAAGCAGCGCTGGGTGGCGTGGGCACCCCCACACTGCTCACCCGCGCGGTCGCCGGAACGAAGAACGTAGGTGCAGGGACCAGTACCCCCACCCCTCTGACGCCCAGCGTACCACTCACGAAGCTGCTGAGGCGAAGGGATGTCCCGCGAGCGCTGCTGCTGCTGCCGGTGCGAGCGCTGGCCACCACCACCGCCGCTACGCTGCTGGGTACCACCCCGACCAGCTCTTCCTCCTCCACCACCACTGCCTCCTCCGCTGCCGCCTCCACCGCCTCCACCTCCGCCGCCTCCACCTCCGCCGCTGCCTCCACCACCACCGCTGGCACCACCACCACCGTCTCCGCCGCTGCTGCCACCACCACCACCACCACCCCCGCCACTAGCCCCGCCGCCACCCCCACTCCCTCCGCCGCCACCGCCGCCACCGCCACCGCCCCCTCCAGCTCCACCCGCGCCCTTGCCCCCCTTGCCCTTGCTGGAGCGACGTCTCCCACTAGGGGCAGACGCCGCGCCGACCGACTCAAGACCAAGCAGGTCGGCAGCAGCAGCAGAGGCAACAGAGGGCAGCAAGGGGGAAGCAGAGCACCCCTCAAAGATGGGGGTGCGAGGGTCACCACGAGAAGCACCTACAGCGACTATGCTCTTCTCCGCTGCAAGGAGGGCCTTCTCGAGGAGGTCGACGGTGAGGGTGGTGGGACAGACTGCGAGAAAGTGGTCCCTGACGACGCGAAGGGAGTCAGGGAGGCGCGCGACTACGTAGTAGAGAGCGATGTACATGGGGGGGGGGTTCTTAGCGCAGAACTCAGCAGGAAGGGCGGCGCGGTAGCGAGTGTCACTAGTGCGGAGGTGCGTAATGAGGTCAGCGACAGTGGGAAAGGCAGAGAGGTCCGGAAAGAGGTAGGGAAGCATGAGACGGCTCAGTGCAGCAGTGGCAGGGGAAGAGTAGCGCGCAACTACAGCGTCGTACAAGGTCTGAGCACTCTTGTACTGACTAAAGTGCGCACGCTCAGAGGTAGGGAGGTGGCGACGCACAGCAAGACGTGCAGCAGCATCGCGGGTGGCCCACTTAGAGCGGACAGCGGGATCAGCATCAGCAGCAGGAGCAGGAGAGGCGCCAGAGGTGAGGTCAAAGAGAGAAAGGTCGTCAGCCCTGTCGCACTGTAAGAACAGCTGCAGGTCGTCTAACCAGACCTCAAAATCAATGGCGCGACCCTCAGCGTCAAAAGCTAGGACACTAGGGGTAGCCATGGCGACGACAGCGACGCAGTGCAAGCAGTAGGGAAAGAGCTCGCAGTGGCAGTGGGACTGTGCTCACCAGGCAGGGCAGGTCGAGTAGGTATGCAGAAAGGCGGCTCAGCGACCTGGCGGCTCGGGTGCTGGGCGGCTCGGGCGCAGGGCGGCTCGGCTCCCGGGCGGCTCGGCGGCAGGGCAGCTCGGGGGCAGGGCGGCTCGGCTCCCGGGCGGCTCGGCGACAGGGCGGCTCAGGTGCAGGGCGGCTCGGCTCCCGGGCGGCTCGGCTGCAGGGCGGCTCGGCTCCTGGTAGTAGGTGGGCGGCGGGGCCGCGCGAGAAGACGGCCGGGGCCGCTTCGGTAGTAGGCGGCTGGGGCCACGGTCGAACAGGCGGCTGGCACCGCGGTCGTAGCAGGCGGGGGGGCCGTGCAAGCAGGCGGCCGGGGCCGCGGTAGAAGCGGGCGGCGAGGCCGTGCGAGCAGGCAGCCGGGGCCGCGACAGGAGCGGGCGGCGGGGCCGCGGTCGAACAGGCGGCTGGGGCCGCGGTCGTAGCAGGCGGCCGGGGCCGCGATCGTAGTGGGCGGCGGCCGCGGTGAAGCGGGCGGCAGGGCCGCGTCGAGCAGGCGGCTGGGGGCCGCGTCGAGCAGGCGGCTGGGGGCCGCGACAGGAGCGGGCGGCGGGGCCGCGGTCGAACAGGCGGCTGGGGCCGCGGTCGTAGCAGGCGGCCGGGGCCGCGATCGTAGTAGGCGGCGGCCGCGGCGTAGCGGGCGGCAGGGCCGCGTCGAGCAGGCGGCTGGGGGCCGCGTCGAGCAGGCGGCTGGGGGCCGCGACAGGAGCGGGCGGCGGGGCCGCGGTCGAACAGGCGGCTGGGGCCGCGGTCGTAGCAGGCGGCCGGGGCCGCGTCGAGCAGGCGGCTGGGGGCCGCGTCGAGCAGGCGGCTGGGGGGCCGCGTCGAGCAGGCGGCTGGGGCCGCGATCGTAGCGGGCGGCTGGGGCCGCGACTTAGCGGGCGGCTGGGCCGCGTGTGGGAGGGAGGCGACACGGAGGGTCGCTCGATAGCGGAAAAAAAAAGTCGAGCGCGCCTCGGGGCGCGCTTCGGTGGGCCCTAGGCAGAGTTCCACAGGGAACCCGCTCTATACCATGTGAAATGAGTAAGCAGGAATGAAATGACTAAGGAAAGATTGGGTACAAATACAACCCTAGAAACCCTGTACCCCATATGTGCTACCCCACTATAGCCTACAGCAACTATGTCATATAAATCTGACAATTTGCACTCTAAGTTCCCATACTGACCGACCTGGCCAATGCACCATTTTCCATATACATATGCATTAGATTTCTTTTGAACCTTATTAGCTCACTAGATTTATATATTTCCCACCTTCTGATCGAGTGAGACCGCTAGATTCCCTTTACTTTTTGAGAAATGAGCGTTTCCGTTCTCCTTGGCCCTACTTGCACTATAAGTGCGAAATGCCGGCCAGACTGGCCGATGCACCATTTTCCTACACATGTGCGTTAGTTACCTTTCAAACCCTTATGTTCACTAGATAAATTTATTTCCTACCTTCTATTTGAGTGAGACCACTAGATTCCGTGTACTATGCGAGATCTGAGCGCTTCCGTTCTCCCTGGCATTTGCACTCTAAGTTCCCATACTGACCGACCTGGCCAATGCACCATTTTCCATATAAATATGCATTAGATTCCTTTCGAACCTTATTAGCTCACTAGATTTATATATTTCCCAACTTCTGATCGAGTGAGACCGCTAGATTCCATCTACTTTTTGAGAAATGAGCGTTTCCGTTCTCATTGGCCCTAGTTGCACTATAAGTGCAAAATGCCGGCCAGACTAGCCGATGCACAATTTTCTCTACACATGTGCGTTAGTTACCTTTCAAACCCTTACGTTCACTAGATGAATTTATTTCCTACCTTCTATTTGAGTGAGACCACTAGATTCCGTGTACTATGCGAGATCTGAGCGCTTCCGTTCTCCCTGGCATTTGCACTCTAAGTTCCCATACTGACCGACCTGGCCAATGCACCATTTTCCATATACATATGCATTAGATTTCTTTTGAACCTTATTAGCTCACTAGATTTATATATTTCCCACCTTCTGATCGAGTGAGACCGCTAGATTCCCTTTACTTTTTGAGAAATGAGCGTTTCCGTTCTCCTTGGCCCTACCTGCACTATAAGTGCGAAATGCCGGCCAGACTGGCCGATGCACCATTTTCCTACACATGTGCGTTAGTTACCTTTCAAACCCTTACGTTCACTAGATGAATTTATTTCCTACCTTCTATTTGAGTGAGACCACTAGATTCCGTGTACTATGCGAGATCTGAGCGCTTCCGTTCTCCCTGGCATTTGCACTCTAAGTTCCCATACTGACCGACCTGGCCAATGCACCATTTTCCATATAAATATGCATTAGATTCCTTTCGAACCTTATTAGCTCACTAGATTTATATATTTCCCAACTTCTGATCGAGTGAGACCGCTAGATTCCCTCAACTTTTTGAGAAATGAGCGTTTCCGTTCTCATTGGCCCTAGTTGCACTATAAGTGCAAAATGCCGGCCAGACTAGCCGATGCACAATTTTCTCTACACATGTGCGTTAGTTACCTTTCAAACCCTTACGTTCACTAGATGAATTTATTTTCTACCTTCTATTTGAGTGAGACCACTAGATTCCGTGTACTATGCGAGATCTGAGCGCTTCCGTTCTCCCTGGCATTTGCACTCTAAGTTCCCATACTGACCGACCTGGCCAATGCACCATTTTCCATATACATATGCATTAGATTTCTTTTGAACCTTATTAGCTCACTAGATTGATATATTTCCCACCTTCTGATCGAGTGAGACCGCTAGATTCCCTTTACTTTTTTAGAAATGAGCGTTTCCGTTCTCCTTGGCCCTACTTGCACTATAAGTGCGAAATGCCGGCCAGACTGGCCGATGCACCATTTTCTCTACACATGTGCGTTAGTTACCTTTCAAACCCTTACGTTCACTAGATGAATTTATTTCCTACCTTCTATTTGAGTGAGACCACTAGATTCCGTGTACTATGCGAGATCTGAGCGCTTCCGTTCTCCCTGGCATTTGCACTCTAAGTTCCCAAACTGACCGACCTGGCCAATGCACCATTTTCCATATACATATGCATTAGATTTCTTTTGAACCTTATTAGCTCACTAGATTTATATATTTCCCACCTTCTGATCGAGTGAGACCGCTAGATTCCCTTTACTTTTTGAGAAATGAGCGTTTCCGTTCTCCTTGGCCCTACTTGCACTATAAGTGCGAAATGCCGGCCAGACTGGCCGATGCACCATTTTCTCTACACATGTGCGTTAGTTACCTTTCAAACCCTTACGTTCACTAGATGAATTTATTTCCTACCTTCTATTTGAGTGAGACCACTAGATTCCGTGTACTATGCGAGATCTGAGCGCTTCCGTTCTCCCTGGCATTTGCACTCTAAGTTCCCAAACTGACCGACCTGGCCAATGCACCATTTTCCATATACATATGCATTAGATTTCTTTTGAACCTTATTAGCTCACTAGATTTATATATTTCCCACCTTCTGATCGAGTGAGACCGCTAGATTCCCTTTACTTTTTGAGAAATGAGCGTTTCCGTTCTCCTTGGCCCTACTTGCACTATAAGTGCGAAATGCCGGCCAGACTGGCCGATGCACCATTTTCCTACACATGTGCGTTAGTTACCTTTCAAACCCTTACGTTCACTAGATGAATTTATTTCCTACCTTCTATTTGAGTGAGACCACTAGATTCCGTGTACTATGCGAGATCTGAGCGCTTCCGTTCTCCCTGGCATTTGCACTCTAAGTTCCCATACTGACCGACCTGGCCAATGCACCATTTTCCATATAAATATGCATTAGATTCCTTTCGAACCTTATTAGCTCACTAGATTTATATATTTCCCAACTTGTGATCGAGTGAGACCGCTAGATTCCCTCAACTTTTTGAGAAATGAGCGTTTCCGTTCTCATTGGCCCTAGTTGCACTATAAGTGCAAAATGCCGGCCAGACTAGCCGATGCACAATTTTCTCTACACATGTGCGTTAGTTACCTTTCAAACCCTTACGTTCACTAGATGAATTTATTTTCTACCTTCTATTTGAGTGAGACCACTAGATTCCGTGTACTATGCGAGATCTGAGCGCTTCCGTTCTCCCTGGCATTTGCACTCTAAGTTCCCATACTGACCGACCTGGCCAATGCACCATTTTCCATATACATATGCATTAGATTTCTTTTGAACCTTATTAGCTCACTAGATTGATATATTTCCCACCTTCTGATCGAGTGAGACCGCTAGATTCCCTTTACTTTTTTAGAAATGAGCGTTTCCGTTCTCCTTGGCCCTACTTGTACTATAAGTGCGAAATGCCGGCCAGACTGGCCGATGCACCATTTTCTCTACACATGTGCGTTAGTTACCTTTCAAACCCTTACGTTCACTAGATGAATTTATTTCCTACCTTCTATTTGAGTGAGACCACTAGATTCCGTGTACTATGCGAGATCTGAGCGCTTCCGTTCTCCCTGGCATTTGCACTCTAAGTTCCCAAACTGACCGACCTGGCCAATGCACCATTTTCCATATACATATGCATTAGATTTCTTTTGAACCTTATTAGCTCACTAGATTTATATATTTCCCACCTTCTGATCGAGTGAGACCGCTAGATTCCCTTTACTTTTTGAGAAATGAGCGTTTCCGTTCTCCTTGGCCCTACTTGCACTATAAGTGCGAAATGCCGGCCAGACTGGCCGATGCACCATTTTCTCTACACATGTGCGTTAGTTAGCTTTCAAACCCTTACGTTCACTATATGAATTTATTTCCTACCTTCTATTTGAGTGAGACCACTAGATTCCGTGTACTATGCGAGATCTGAGCGCTTCCGTTCTCCCTGGCATTTGCACTCTAAGTTCCCAAACTGACCGACCTGGCCAATGCA